AGTATTTTAATTCTTGTGAATAACCTTTTTGCCGTAGTTGAATACACTTTTGTTTCTAATTTTGTCTTGATTATCTTGCGAAGAAGTTATTCTGAGAAGAGACAGAAATTCTATAAAAGCACGTTTTCTAATGTCGCAGTATAGTTCATCATGAATTGATAAAGAGACGTCGATAGTGAGTAAAGAAAGTATGTGCTGATTTTTCATTTCATCTTCACAACTGATTTTTCTCTGTAAATAATTCGGCAATATTGGATATTACTGTAAGTTCTGACGGAGATACAAAGGCTTGTTGATGCTTTCAAAAAACTGTTTTATTTTTGATATTTTATGCAGTTACTGTGACGATCTTGAATAAATTCTGTGATAAGCTTACTGTTACGTACTACTTAAGAATTGTTGAATCCTAATGAGTATCTGGGTCAACTAACTTAGTACTTTTTATTGATCGGTTTTGTGAATTAACTTCTTAAATAAGAGTTGAATAAAGATTTTGAACATCATCTTTCTTTCGTTATTCTTTCACTGAATATGTTCATTCGTCCTTGACTCAAAGGCAAATATCTATCAATCTGCAATATTTTATTAATTTAAAATTCGTTCAATCGCTTTCTCTTAAGAACTTTGTCGTTTTCGTTGAGAAGCACATGTATCATTGCAATGGCATTTCTTAAGATGTAGGACGTCTTTCATGTTAAAGAGAATTGTGAATGAACCCTGTTGGACTGGTAGCAAACTCGCTTGGATAGAGATTAGAAAGAGAATTTCGATTCATACAAAATTTTTTCAAAATTTTATTGTTTGTAATTACCTTTGAAAGTTGATTTTTTTCCTGCTTTGGTTGTTGAGGATGACAATCAATTGTTTGCATACATTAAAGCTCATCAAATTAGTTTCTGAACTATATGTGGTGAAATTCACGTAGAGTTTATGGAGGATTAAGGTCTGAAAATATTTTATAAAACGGATCCGGATCAAAGTATTCTGAATCTGATGGATTGCAACTGTCAATATGCAACTCTATTCCTCACGCACGTGCATGTTTGGAACACTGCAGCATCCTTTCTTAGTAAGAAAGAAATCCTCCTTTTTCCTCCTTTTTTAAGAGTAATCCTCCCAAAGACTCGGGTCATAAATCCTCCTGATTCCTCCTTTTCTTCATATGGCCGCTAACATACCAAAACGTGTTCACATAATTGTTGATCTTGAGGGTGTGACTTATAAAATGACAAAGAAAAAGTCATTTGTGATGAATAAACCATACGTATTCTTTAATGTTGTTTGAAATTCATTGATGAAAATAACATGATGAGAACGATACAAAAAGAAAGATCTTGAATTCTATAAAAAGGATTCAAATCGTACAAAACTAATGAAAGTAATGAAGAAATCTTAGTTTTCGAAAATAATCATCATAATGCAATGAAAATGATGTCAAAGAAAAGAATGAAATTTCCTACATGTAAATTCAAACAATAACCATTGAAATGAATTGTTTTTGTTTTCTTTTTTTTTTAGTCACTGAGTTACGGCTGTGAATGTGATGTAAATAGAATAAGTACAAATTCATCGTCGACTGACGATAAATTGATCGTCGATGATTATCTATTAATGATTAACATTGAGTGATAGTTCATGTTTTTCAAATATCCTATATAAGGAATGATTTTCTTGTATAAAATCATTCAATTCAATCGATCTATTGTATCAACAATAGATTGAATAAGTATTCTCATAAATCTTATTTTTTTTTAGGAGGTGCAAGATACAATTAGGTACATAATTATGATATTTATACATATATATATTCCAATCTTAAATAGAGTATGTTGTTTTTTTTTTTCGTATTGGGATAAAAAATTTATAAATAAGTTGAAAAGTTCTATTGGCCACTAGAACTTTTCAAGTTATTTTTTTCTTTCATACTTCTGTTATTATGTAGAGAGGGATAGGTACTATTTTATATCACAGCCCGTCAGATGGCTTCCTAATCTGACCCAGGAAGATTTCTTGTGCCTATGTTGGCGAAAGCAGTGGAGAACTCGGGAAGGCCGTCTGTTCGTAGGTCCCTGTCGCCCGTTTACGTACGTCACACCTATGATCATGCCCTACCAGACCGGAGTGGTCCGCTCTGCGTGTACCCATTGCGGGCTTACAGGGAGTCTTCCTGGTCGCGCGCGCGCGCGTACCCGAGAATGAGTCAAGAAAAGCCGCGAAAAGTGAAATGCATTGTAATGCAAATAAATTTATTCAGCAAATCGAAAAAAAAAACAAATTACATTTTCTTTCGAATTTTTTCAAATGTTTCTTTATATTCCAATATATGAGGATGATTTGAAGGTAATTTTTCTTGAGCAATTTCTATGGCTTGTTGAACATTTTTCATTGCCATATTATATTGTCGAGTAGATAAATATAATTTTGCCAAATTATGATATACTACAGCTAAATCAGGATGATTTTTTGGTAGTTTATTTTCACGTATTTCTAATCCTTTTTGATAATATGTAAATGCCGTTGTATAATCTTTCATTTGACGATATGTTTCACCTAAATTTATATATGTCGTTGCACAATCTGTAGGATTACATTGAACATTTTCTTGAATATTTAATGCTTTTCGATGAAATGTAATTGCCTTTTCATAATCACCCATTAATCGATGAACATCACCAACATTACTATATGTAATAGCTTGATTGGGATGTCTTTCTGGTAATGTTCGTTGAAATATTGCGAGGCATTTTTGAAAGTAATCAAATGACTTTGAATAATCTTTCAAACTGCGATAAACTCTTCCAAACCAGCTGTATGTTGAAGCAAAAGCTGGATTACCTTCTTCAAAAGTTTTTTGATTGATTTGATAAGCATTTTTAAGGGCTTTAAGAGCTGTTGTGTAATCACCCATTGTTTCGTAACATGTGGCAAAATTCAACTGAGTAACAGCCAAATCAGGATGATTAGAAGGGAGAGCTTTTTTTCGTATTTCAAGTGATTTTTCGTAAAATTCAAGTGCTTTCGAGTAGTCACCCATGCCACTGTACACTCCACCGATGTTGCCGTATGAAGTAGCCAA